TGGTCCCCTCCGGTGTCCAGCGCGGCCTCCATATCCCCTCGTTCACTCGGAACTTGGTGGGTGTTGGTTACCTCCAGGACAGGGGGATCACGGTTACCTTTGTGGGGGGTGGGAGGACTGCGGTCTGTACAGACGCTGCCACAGGTATTGTTCTGGCCACGTTCACCAGGGAGCCCCGCTCCAATCTCTACGTTCTCCACACCGAGCGCTCCCCGGTTGCGTCCTCCACTCAGGTCGTTGCGTCCCCTCCAGTCCAGGTGTCCAGTCTGGTTGCTGTGTCTAGCCAGGTGGTTGTGTCTAGTCCAGTTGCAGTGTCTAGGCAGGTCGCGTTGTCCAGTCCAGTTGCTGCGTCCTGCTCCTGTCGGTCCCTCACCCACCAGACCGTCTTGTGGCACCACCGCCTTGGCCACCCGTCGATCCCCCGCCTCCGCGGCATGACCACTCACGGGCTTGTCACCGGTCTCCCGCGCACCTTTCCGTCGCTCCCTACCTCCCCTGCTCCCCCTTGCACTCCTTGCGTCGCCGGTCGCTTACGCGCCACTCCCCACTCCTCCTCCCTTCGTCCGGCCACTGCTCCCTTCGAGACTCTCCACTTGGACGTCTGCGGCCCTCCCCCGACGCAGGGATCTGGGAGGGAGCGTTACTTTCTGGTGGTCGTCGACGAATTCTCCAGGTACACCACAGTGTTCCCTCTCGCGAAGAAGTCCGAGGTGACTTCTACGCTGATCCGGTGGCTTCTGGCTACTGAGAGCACTCGTGGTCGTCGTGTCAGTTGTCTACACTCCGACCGTGGGGGCGAGTTTCGCTCCGGCATTCTTGGCGGATTCTGCGGCGAACATGGCATCGTACAGTCCTGGACGCTTCCGGAGTCCCCACAGCAGAATGGGGTTGGTGAGCGCCGCATTGGCTTGGTCATGGACATGATCCATGCCCGTGCGCCCCATTTTCTGTGGCCCTACGCGGTTCACTACGCCGCACACCAGCTGAACCTCCAGCCGCGTGTCTCGCGGCCCGAGGCTTCACCGACCAGTCTTTGGACCGGTTCCCCTGGTGTTGGGTCGGCCTTTCGTGTCTGGGGCTGCCTTGCGCTTGTTCGCGACACCTCCACGGACAAGCTCTCGGCACGCGCCGTCCCCTGTGTCTTCCTTGGTTTCCGAGTGGACTCTTCCGACTGGTCCTTTTACCACCCGCCCCTCCACCAGTTCCTAGACTCCCGTGACGTCCTGTTTGACGAGTCTGTGTCCTACTACACCCGGTACCCCTGTCGAGGTCTCCCTGTACCCCCTCCCCCTCTTTTCCTCGCACCCTCTCCTCCTCCTGCTCCCGCTCCTCCGGTACCCCCGCCCCCCCTGGTCCTGCCCCGTCTGGTGTGTCCCACGCTACCCCTCTACCCTCGGTCGCGTCAGGTCGCGTCTCCCTCCCCGCAGTCCTCCTCGCAGCCTTCGGAAATTCCGCGACAGGTTACTGTGGACTTGGTTGGTGTTGGAGCTGGAGGTGCAGCCGCTGGCGGTACTCGGTCTGGGGGTGCTCGTTCGAGGGGTGCTAAAGCTGGAGGTGCTGGCGTAGGTGGCGCTAGCTCTGGGGGCGCTGGGGCTGGAGGTGCTGGCGCAGGTGGCGCTAGCTCTGGGGGTGCTGGAGCTGGAGGTGCTGGCACTGGAGGTGCTAGTTCTGGGGGTGCTGGAGCTGGAGGTGCTGGTTCTGGGGGTGCTGGTGCTGGAGGCGCTGGCACTGGAGGTGCTGGTTCTGAGGAGACTGGAGCTGGAGACACCGGTTCTGCGGAGTCCACTCCACCTCCCCACCGCCACGACACTCGTCTCCAGGCGGCCCGTCGGCGTGAGCGTGAGGAGCAGGTGCTGTTGGAGAGGGAGCGGCAGGAGTTGCGGCAGTTGGACCTGCTGGAGCAGCAGCAGCAGCAGCAGCAGCAGCAGCCGTCGCCGCCGCAGCAGCAGACACCACCGCCGCCGCCGCGACCACCGCAGCTCATTCTGGAGCGGCAGTTGTTCCCACCCGTGAGTGGCCTTCGGGCCCTTGGTCTTCCCTCCTCTCCTGTTCCCACTCCGTCCCCTCCAGCGTTTGGTCCCACGTTTCCTCCTCCTGACGACAGTCCGGCGGTCTGGTCTTCTGCTCCACCGCAGTCTCCTCCACCAGTTGTCCCACACTCTCGTGTCCGTCCCTGTCCTCCGCGTGCTCGTCACTCGTCTCCCGTTACCGACCTCCGCACTGCCCTCCTTTGTTCGTCTCTTCGTCGTCCTCCTCCTGAGTCTGTCCTCCCGTCTCCTCCTCCGTCCTCTCTCCCTGTCCCCCCTACTCCTATCACTGACTACTACCGTGCTGTTCGTCCTGTTGTCTCCCGTGTCCTCGCCACTCTTGTCACCGACTCTCGTTTCCCTCCGTCGTCTGTCTCGGCTCTCACTGCCGCTGTCGCTGAGTTTGCTGCCGCCAGCCGCCTTGACTACGCCACCCGTGTGGTACCAGCTCCTCCCTCCCGTCCTCTGTCTGTCGGGGGTGAGTTTTCCCTTGGCTGTGACGTCCTAGAGGACACAGAGTTTGAGCTGGAGTACTGGGCAGCCTCTTCTCCCTCTGTCTGTGCCATGCTGCTATCCCCTGAGGGAGACCCCGACGCCCTTGACATACCGACTCCTCGTACTTACCGCGAGGCAGTGTCTGGGGCGTGGGCCTCTCAGTGGAAAGCGGCTATGGCCTCGGAGTTAGCCTCTTGGAGATCCACAGGCACCTACGTCGACGCAGTTCCCCCTCCCAGGGCGAACGTAGTCGATGGCATGTGGCTCTTCAAGGTGAAGCGGCCGCCTGGTTCACCGCCTGTGTTCTAGGCGCGCTACGTGGCTAGGGGTTTCAGTCAGCGTGAGGGAGTTGACTTCTTCCAGACCTTCGCCCCGACCCCGAAGATGACTACTCTTCGGGTGTTACTGCACGTAGCAGCACAGCGAGACTACGAGTTGCACTCCCTTGACTTCTCCACTGCGTTTCTCCAGGGCCGACTACACGAGGAGATATGGCTGCGCCGCCCTCCTGGCTTCACTGACACCTTCCCACCTGAGACCCAGTGGAGACTGAGGCGGCCAGTCTACGGTCTCCGACAGTCGCCCCGTGAGTGGCACGACACTCTTCGCTCCACGCTTCGTGACCTTGGGTTTAGTCCGTCGTCTGCCGACCCGTCGCTGTTTGTTCGGGCTGGTTCCACTCCTTTCTTCATTCTTGTCTACGTCGACGACTTGGTCTTTGCTACAGCAGACAGGGCAGCTCTGGCTCAGGTGAAGTCCGAACTGCAGAAGAGACACAAGTGCACTGACCTAGGTGAACTGCAGCGCTACCTTGGCCTGCAGATCACCAGGGATAGAGCCGCTCGCACCATCACACTGACTCAGTCACACATGGTGCAGCAGGTCCTTTGGCGGTTCAACTTCCAGTTCTCCACCACACAGCCCACACCTCTTGCGGTTGACCACAGACTCACTGACCCCTTTTGAGACGAGCCCTTTGAGTCCAGTGGTCCCTACGCTGAGCTGGTGGGCTGCCTCATGTACATGATGACTTGTACTCGGCCGGACCTCGCCTTTCCCATCAGCATCCTTTCTCGCTTTGTTGCGACTGGGAGACACCGTCCTGTCCACTGGACAGCTGCTGTGAGGGTGGCGAAGTACCTGGCGACTACATCAGGCATGGGGCTTGTGCTTGGAGGGACTCAGCCAGTGGCGTTGACTGGTCGCTGCGACTCTTCCTACGCTGACGACGTGGAGACTCAGCGCTCGACTCAGGGTTACTGCTTCAGTCTGGGAGCTGGTGCTGTGTCGTGGAGGTCTACACGGTCGTCGTCTGTGGCTACTTCCTGTGCAGAGGCAGAGATCTACGCTGGTGACATGGCGGCACAGGAGCTTCGCTGGTTGACCTTCTTGCTCGCTGACCTTGGTGAGCGGCCTCGCTCTGCACCAACCTTGTACGCTGACAACACGGCCATGATCCTCCTCTGTTGAGAGCCTCGACTGGAGAGCAGAGTGAAGCACATTGACGTGAGGTACTTCCTCCTGCGAGAGCTGCAGCGACGCGGCCAGGCACGCCTGGACTTTGTGGCCTCAGAGGCCAACACTGCAGACGTCTTCACCAAGGCCCTAGCGCTTGGTGACCACCACAGGTTCTGTGTGCAGTTGGGGCTTGTTGAGGTAGGCCCTCGGTTGCTGTAGTCTTGTTGCTTGCTCTGCTTGTTGTGCTTTTGTATTTATATCCTAGTGAACTCTTGAACTGGCCTTGTGGCCGCTTGCTTGCGTTCGGAATTTGTGTGGTATCCTTGAGATCCACCCTGAGCTTCTTTTGCTTCTTGCTGACTGGTCTTGTGACCGTTTGTCTGCCTTGCTTGTTTTGATGCCCCTCACTTAGCCTATGGGGGTGTGTCAAATGTTATTATTTGTAATAGGCTGTAGTGATGTGCTTTCTAGGGGGTACAGCTTTTAGGTTTCCATATTTGTACCCCATTCCCTTGCTAGTCAATCCATTCCGTTGTTCGCTCATTCGGAGAGCGCTACGGGCCTAGCGCCGAGGTTTGGGAATTGTCGAGGCGGAGGCCCGGAGCGCGGGTTACCAACCTAACCGTTAGGTTGGGTCGCATCGCGAACAGTGGCGGGAGTCGTGGTCGAGGCGAGTGTTGTGAGCGGGTAACGTTTCACTGTGGGTGCCGATGGCGGGAGTGGTCATGTACGCGGTAAGCAGGGGCTCGAAGTAAGGAACATGAATTTTCCTTACAAATGGCAAAAGCTGAACAACATTGGTACAATCTTGTACAACATTGCTTCTTGTTTGTTGAAACGGCAACATGCCTCGTTTCAATCGGCATTACAATACCATACTCGTTAACTGTGGGGCAATACATACCTTGAATGAAACCCTTTTCACTGATTTCAATGCTGTGGACACAATACTGGCAAGGAAACCATCATAACATCCACAAAACAAAAGCACCACCGCAGAGCACCGCACCGCACCGTAGTCTAAACCCCATGCGTCAGAGTCACCAGCCCGCCAAACAGCTTCCCACCAGTGGACCTGAGCTCATCAATCACCCTATTCCAATTGGAACCCAGCGAGCCGATGAAATAATCGCTCTCAGACGTGATTAGCAGGTTGGCGAAGATCTCGGCTATGGGCTGCTGGCCTGAGAACTGCTGCTGCTTCATCTGCTCCACGTCCGTTGCTCTGCTGCTGCTGGCGTAGAGAAAGGTCCAGTCGGGGAAGGTCTCTGCTGCTGCCATCACAGACTGGTGGGGAGGGGGGGATGAGGGAGGCGGGAAGGGGGAAGAAGGGGGGAAAGATTGAGGTGGGGAATGTGGGGCAACCGAGGGCATAGAGTGTCTGTTGCTCTGTTGCTGCTGGCGTAGAGGAAGGTCCAGTCGGGGAAGGTCTCTGCTGCTGCCATCACAGACTGGTGGGGGGAGTGGGGAGGGGGGAGGGGGACAAAGGAAGAGGGAGGAGAAGGGGGCAGGGGAAATGGGGGAAGGGGGAAGGGGGAAGGGGGAAGGGGAAAGGAGTAAGGAGTAAGTAGAGAAGGGAAAAACAGGGGGTTCTGGAAGAAGAGAGTGCACAAAGTGCGCTGCGCATGCATCAAGGGAAAGGCAGAAATGCGGATCGAATCGAAACAAACTTGGGAGCAAGAGCAAATTGAACACCATACACATGGAAGATAGCACACATGTGTACATACCATATAGGTAGCATGATAACCAGCACAACACAAAATTATGTAACGCTTCCGTACGTTACCTCCATCTCGCTGGTGAGATAAATGTCTTACATAAACGTCACAAATAGCATACACAGGTATGTAACGCTTTCGTACCCCCATCTCGCTGCTGAGCCAGATATACTGCAAGTCAGGCCGGTGGAGGCGCAGCACATACCTTTTGAGCAGACTCAAGAGTCACCTCCTTACGTCCATCTAGCTGCTGAGCCAGATGCATTGCAAGTCAGGCCGGTGGCGGCGCATGCCTTTTGAGTCACCTCCCATCTCCCACTCAAGAGTCACCTCCTTACGTCCATCTAGCTGCTGAGCCAGATGCATTGCAAGTCAGGCCGGTGGCGGCGCATGCCTTTTGAGTCACCTCCCATCTCCCACTCAAGAGTCACCTCCTTACGTCCATCTAGCTGCTGAGCCAGATGCATTGCAAGTCAGGCCGGTGGCGGCGCATGCCTTTTGAGTCGACTCAAGAGTTGGTATCTGAGACTTCTCAGAAACCTCCTTACCTCCATCTCGCTGCTGAGCCAGATATACTGCAGGTCAGGGCGGTGGCGGCGCATGCGGTAGGCGAAGAAGACAAAGGTGGCGAGGGAGTGCAGCGTCATCTCTATTCCCTTGTCGCCCTGCCGCACGTGCATGCTGATCACTGGCCGCAGCATGAACGGCGGTGCGCCCACTTGTTGGTATACCCGAGCACTCTCCGCCCATGTGCAGGTGGATTGTTGTGGTGATTGTGGTGGTGGCGTGGGTTGTGTTGGCGGGTTGGTGCTGCTGCAGCTGCTGCAACCGGATAGGCCTTGCAGCGGCCAGATGTGTGACGCGAGGGATGGTGGGGAGGGAGTGGAGGGAGTGGAGGGAGGAGCGGCAGTGGGAGGAGGGGAGACGAGAGGGGGGGAGGAGGGGGAGGAGGTGGAGGGAGGAGGGGTGATGGGAGAGGAGGAGAGGAATCGAAGATCATCTGCTGGATCGGCAGATGGAGAAGGTACAAGGGGAGGCTGGGAGGAGGCGGGAGGAACAGTGCTGCTAGCACCGCTACTGGCACCGCCGGTAGCAGCAGAGGCGTTGATTGATTGTAGCAGCTCCGCCTGCTTCAGGACAACGGATGCAACTCGATCTGCTACCAGGAGCCCGTAGGCGGAGTGGCGCATGCGGTTGGTGGCGTGGCAGAGGTGGGGGGAGGGCCAGCGCAGCATGAAGCGCAGCGCCTGCGCTCGCCACCAGCGCGCCTGCAGAGAGGAGGAGGGGGGAGGGGCGAAAGGGGCGAAATGGGCGAAATGGGGGAAAGGAGGCTCGATGTTTGCTGTATTCTGTGTGGACTAACTGCCTCTGGCTGCAGCAGAGCAGCGGGCCAGCACTAGGACCACAAGGGCCCAGGGTCGCAACCAGCGCGCTCGCAGAGAGGAAGTGGTAAAGGGAGCGTTGAATTTCCTTATTGCAGGATACCTGCCTTTGGCTGCAACCGGGCGGTGGGAGGGAAGGGGAGGAGGTGGGAGATAGGGAGGGGGAGGGGGAGGGGGAGGGGGAGGGGGAGGGGGAGGGGGAGGGGGAGGGGGAGGGTGAGGGGGAGGGGGAGGGGGAGGGGGAGGGGGAGGGGGAGGGTGAGGGGGAGGGGGAGGGGGAGGGGGAGGGGGAGGGGGAGGGGGAGGGGGAGGGGGAGGGGGAGGGGGAGGGGGAGGGGGAGGGGGACGGGAGTGGGAGGGGAGTGGGACGGGAGGGGGTGGGGTTGCGGGTGGGCGAGAGGTTGAGGGGAAGGGAGGGGGAGAGTGAGAGGGTGGGGGGGGGTTGAGGAGGGGTTGAGGGTGGGGGTTGAGGGAAGGGGGGAGCATGATGTTAGCAAGTCAGAAAGAGAATGACAAGAGAATGGGTGGTTTTTGAATGTGGGGGATGGATGAGACGGCGAGTTGAGAACAACACGAGAGGCGATGCACGTGCAATGCAAGGAAAGAGGAGGGTGGGGTGGGGTGGAGTGGGGTGGGGTGGGGTGGGGTGGGGTGGGGTGGGGTGGATACAATGAGACCTCTGAAAGAGCAACCAACACAGCGCCTTTCCCCAATGGCTGAGTGAGTACAGCAGCGAAGACGACACCTGTGCTCTGCACCACAGCAGCAGCAGCGGAGAAGGCGTAACACAGCAGCAGCAGAGGCCCCAGGAGAAGTGGTAGTGGCATTGCTTGCTTGTTTGCTTGTGTCACTTTTGAGGATTCCCAAAAGGGAGGTAGCAGCGGGCCGCCTTGCACGCTCCCCAGACGCAGGTGAGTTGCAAAGCAACGAAAAACGGCAATGAGAATGGCGATGTGGCGTTGAAATGGAAGGGAAGATGGGATGTGGGAAGATGGGATGTGGGAAGAAGATGGGATGTGGGAAGAAGATGGGATATGGGAAGAAGATGGGATATGGGAAGAGCCAGAGGGAACGGACCTGGCCCCATGCGAAGTACTGGCCCTGTATCCTCCCCAGCTGCTGTATTGTCAGTGGCCGGTCCAGGGATGGCGCACCCCACAGGCTGCAGGGGGGGGTGAGAGTATGAGAGAGAAATGACACAGGGAAAGAGGATAAAGGCACAAACACACACATGCACACACGCACACATGCATGCATGCACGAGAACATGCACGCCCCAACAAACAGGGAGAAACGAAAGGGAATGAGAAAACACACCCACCAGCTCCACCCATCTCTTTCAACACACACAACCCCCACATCCCCCACTCCCCCCTCCCGTACCCACCCCTCCCCCTTCCACACCCTCCTTCCCTCCCTCCAACCCTCATCTCCTCCCCCGCTCGCCTCCTTCTTCCTTCTCTCCCTGCACGCCTTCCCCACCCACTCATGTGCCCATACACACGTCGTTTCAGCAAAAGCACCAACGTTTCCAAACCCAGCGTCTGCTCCCTTCCGCCCCTTGCCCACCACCTCTGGCTCCCATTCCCAAAACCCTCCCCTCCCTTGCACCTTCTCTCTCCACCCTCCCCCCACCACCCCCTCCCCCCGGCCCACTCACTCACTCAGTGGCGCTCACTTCACCGAACAGCCCCGTATTGACCACCTGCACCACCAGCGCATCTCACCCCAGGATGCGCTCCCTCCCCCCACCCACTCTCCCTCCCAAGGTCCCAGCCCGCCCTCTTCCTCTCCCCCGCCCACTCACTCACTCAGTGGCGCTCACTTCACCGAACAGCCCCGTGTTGGCCAGCTGCACCACCAGCGCATCCGACCCCAGGATGCGCTCCCTCTCCTCCATGGCCACGCCGTCGCTGTTCACCACCTCGCCCCTCGCCTCCGCTGCCAGTGCCACTTCCAAGCACGCGGGGGCGCCTAGGGGGAAGAAATAGCACTCCAAGTTGTTGCCCAGGCCCAGGTCTGGGGGGGGGAGAGAGGGGGGGGGATATGGGGGAGGGAAGTTGAAGTGCGGGGATGGGAGTTGGGGGGGGGAGGCGGGACCGGGGGAAAAACGGGGGAGGAGGAGGAGAAAACGGGTGTTAAGGAAGGAGAAAGAGCCGTGCCGTCTCTGTTCACCACCTCGCCCTTGGCCTCCGCTGCCAGTGCCACGACTAGACACGCGGGGGCGCCTAGGGGGAAGAAATAGCACTCCAAGTTGTTGCCCAGGCCCATGTCTGGGGGAGGGAGAGGGGGGAAAGGGGGGTGGAGAGGGGACGGAGAGGAATGGATAAGAGTGGGATCCCAGCGGGAAGAAATAGCACTACAGGTTGTTGCTCAGGCCCAGGTCTGGAGAGGGGTAAGGGCGAGGGAATGGGGAGAGAGGAGAGTGGGAGGTGGGAAGGGGACGGAAGAGAGCAGGGGGCTTTTATGAGAGGATTGTTGATGGATTGATGGACGGACGGATGGATGGTTGAACTGTGAAACAAGAAATCAGAGCTTCCAATTGGAGGAAAAAACACTTTTTTCCAATGCACACTCTCTCGCTTCACCACAGCGATGACTTTTCGAGTCGACTCAAAAGTCACAGAGAGACTGAGGCTTACCTCGGCAGGCCTTTGCCACCCAATCAAACAATCAAGGAAAAGGGGGGTGAGGGCTTTTTAGACACTCTCTGGCTCCACCACACGAATGCGGCTTTTCAGGTGTCTCAAATGCCCTCACCCCCCTTTTCTTCTTCCCCATCTACCCTCCCCCCTTTTTGCAGCACAGCGCAGCACATATTGCTCCAGGTCTACATGACCCAATCGAAGCTCTCCGGCTTGACACCTCCCCCTTCTCCCCCCTCTCCCCTTTCCCCCCCCCTCCCTTTTCCCCCCCCTCCCCTTCTCTCCCCACCCCTTCCCTCCCCCCGTTGACCAGCCCCCCAGCGTGCGCGCACCTCTACAGGCCTCTGTGGCCGTATTGAACGTCTCTGGCTTGATACCTCCCCCCTCTCACCCCACTCCCTCCCAACCCTTCCCGCCCCCCCCTTCCTACCACCAGCCCCCCTGTCGCGCACCTCTGCAGGCCTGCGTGGCCCTATTAAACGTCTCGGGCTTGACAACTCACTCCCCCCTCTCACCCCACTCCCTCCCACCCCCCCCCCCTTTCCCTCCTCCAGCCCCCCTGCCTGCGCGCACCTCTACAGGCCTGTGTGGCCCGATTGAACGTGTCGGGCTTGATGACGAGAGTGCGGTTGAAGCGCACAGCGAGGCTGAGGAACGACGACATGATGTGCAGCTGCGACCCCAGCCCGTGGTGCAGCGTCGCCCAGAACGTCAGCGCCAGGCGCCGCCCCGTGCAGTCCGGGGGCGCGGGGAACTGGTTCGCCCATAGGTCCCTCTGCGCTGTGCGCGTCTGCCCGAGGTTTGCTGCGTCTGACCCGCGGATCTGGGGGGAGGAGGGGGGCAGGGGAGGGGGGAGGAGAGGGGAGAAGGGGATGGGGGAGAGGAGGGGGGAAGGGGAGGGGGGAGGAGTGGGGGAGAGGAGGGGGGAGAGGAAGGTGGAAGGGATGGGAAGAGAGGAAACGGGAGGGAGGAGCGGGAGGGATGGAGTGGGTGAGGGGTTAGGGAGGGGAATGGGTGGGGAAGGGAAAGGGTGGTTCACCCACGGGCCCCTCTGTGCTGTGCGCGTCTGGCCAAGGGAAAACGGAGAGCGGGAGGCGGGGAGCGGTGTGGGTTTGGGGAGGGACGGTAGGTGCGACGGGTGAGGGAGGAGGGGAGAGGGGAAAGGGGAGGGGAGAGAGACGAGGGGAAAGGGGGAGGGGAGAAGGGAGAGCAAACAAGGGGAGGGAAGAGGGGAGAGGACGATGAATGGGGTGCGAGTACAACAGGTGAGCACCCTCTAGTTTCCATCTTCACATCCCCCCTCTCTCTCTCTCTCTCAGCTCCCTCAACCCGACCAAGACCCCACCTGCCGCACCCCCAACCCCCTCACCCCCACCCTCTCCCCCCCTCCTTACTTCCCCCCAAATCCCTACCCAAGGCGTTTGCGGGGTGCAGTTGGCGGGGGGAATGGCCGCGCTGCACTGGCAGCACTCCCCCGCGCGCGCCCACGCGGGCGCCTCCCCGTTCGGCCCCCTCGCCTCCGCGCGCGCGCGCGCAGCCGTGCGCGCGGCGCAGTCCTCCAGGTGGGGCGCGGGGGGCACGCCCGGGGGGAAGGCGAGCGCGGCGGGCGGGGATAGAGAGCCGTTGGCTAGCCCATAGGCCGACTCCCAATCCTGGACGGAGGGGAAGGGGAACCAGGGGAAGGAAGGGCGCAGGGGAAGGCAGAGGGCGGGGGGAGATGGGGGGGAGGGAGAGGGCGGGGGGAGATGGAGGGGAGGGAGAGGGCGGGGGGAGATGGAGGGGAAGGGGTGGGGGTAGGGGAAGAAGGGGGGGCGAGGGGAAGAAGGGGGGGCGAGGGGAAGAAGGGGGGGCGAGGGGAAGAAGGGGGGGCGAGGGGAAGAAGGGGAGACAGAGGTACAGAGTGAGGTGAATGGGTTAACGACGAGGGGAGGGGAAAATTGGGCGATCCATTCTAAAAGCTTATGCGTATCAGGCGGCATGATCGGTATCAGCACAGTGAAACTGTGAAACCAGCCCCCCACCTCGCCGCGGAACAGAAGGGGTGGTCAATATGGGGATGATACGAAGGGGCGGTCAAGCAGGCGTGGTTCAGGTGGAGTGCGGTGATAAGCGGTGCTGGTAAGCACAACGGAGGGAGGGTCCTAAAAGGGTGGAGATTAATCGCCAGATTGCTTGACAAAGTATCGCTGCGCGAACACAAGATCATACCTCGAAGAGTTTTTTTGCGCGTTCCAAGGCCACTCGATCGCTGCTGACGTGGCGCATCGCGCCGCCGCTGCTCGCCGTGATCCCCGTGATCAACGGCGACACGGCGACGCAGCACAACACGGCCCACGTGGCAAGTGACACGTGTTCTGGGACCGCCTGAACGGCACTCCTCCGCCGATGCGGTTCGCGGGATCGAGATCTTTGTTGGTAATGACACCGATGGCGCGATGAGGGATGAGATGATGAATTCAAAGACATGGCGACATATGGTTGAAGGGTATTGGTGGGGTCGACACGAGAATGGGTCGCACGAGTGGCGACGCGAGACGGAAGAAGCCGACGACGAGAGCGGATGGAGCAATCTGACGAGCTCTTCGTTGAGAGGTACGACGAGCAGGCGAAATGCGAGGAGCCCTCACCCATTTCGCGAAACGGCTGATCAGGTCAAGAAGACTAGATGCTAGCCGTTGGTCACGGAATACAGTCTAGCAACCGCTGCCGCCGCCACAACATGTTGAAACGCGGTCTAATCGAAATCTTACAATTTACAGCCCGAGGAAGCGAGCCGACCGATCGCGAAATATGCTGGAAAGAATTATCGAGGGGCGATCTTTTTCTGCGGATTTTGAGTGAACCGCAAAATGCGGGCGACGACGGCGCGCTGCTAGTTGTGTAGTCTGATGTGTTCTGGTGGTGATCGTATGTGGGGTGGGTGATCTGGCTGGTCTGTTTCCGATTTATGGCGACAGGATGGTGACGAAGAACTGGATACCCTGTAACACAGTTTGGGAGTGGAGAAGGCCATGAGGTGTCCGCTCGGTGTGATTGGGGGGATGACTACCTATTTCTGCATCAGGTAGAAATGATAACTCTGTCGAGGGCAAACTGTAAAGATTCGCATAGCTCAGTTTATTTTGTCTATTCAGTTTACAACCATTCAGTCTCTAATTAAAACCCGAAGCCTGAATTACAAGAACTGAGTCAACGCTTGGTTTGGTAGGTCCGGGGTTCGGGCAAAATGAGGTGCGGAGGAATTGCGAAAGGTGGCAGGTTAGCGAAACCTGATGCGACTCTCCCGTGAGGCAAACAGTTCGCAGGCAACCCGCATACCAACCCCAGAGGGAAAGAACAGCATAAGAAAACTGGTGCGACAGAACAAGCAAACATACTCATTCACTCGCTATTAGTATCCGACCATCGCACAACAGCTAGGGTTTTAGAGTGAGCGCCATTTAGACAACCGGAATTAGTAGGTGCAGCTTGTATACGCAATCGAAGCACGGAGAAAATGGGCGTGAGGAGATGAGAGAGCGCTTTGCCTACCTCGCGACCCTCGCCCGTCGCCCTTGCTTTCTCCGCCCACTGCCCTCACCCCGCCCGTCGCCCTCGCCGCCTCGCCGCCCGTCGAGGTCGGTTCCCTCGCCCGTCGCTCTCGCTTCCCCCGCCCGTCGCTCTCGCTTCCCCCGCCTACTACCCTCGCCTCGCCTGTCGCCCTCGCCGCTTCCCCGCCCGTCGCCCTCGCTTCCGCCCGTCACCGCCCGTCACCCTCCCTTCCGCCCGTCACCCTCCCTTCCACCCGTCGCCCTCCCTTCCGCCCGCCGCCCTTCCTTCCCCTCGGCGCGCTTCCTTCCGCCCGTCGCCCTCCCTTCGTCTCGTCGCCCTCCCTTCGTCTCGTCGCCCTCCCTTCCTCCCGTTGCCTTCCCGTCCGCCCGCCGCCCTTCTTTTCCCTCGTCGCGCTCCCTTCTTGCCCCCCTTCGTCTCGTCGCCTCTCTGTCGCTCGTCGCCCTCCTTCCCGCTCGTCCCCTCGCAATCCCCCTCTCTCTCTCCCCCCGTCGCCCTCTCTTTCCCCGTCGCCCTCCCATCCACTCCTTGTCCTCGCCATCCCTATCTTCTCCCTTCTCATCTCGCACACTTGTCACGCCCCCTTTCCCACCTGCACATGCACCCTTCCCATTCCCGAATAATCGCCTTTCACCCCCACACTGCATACATCTCTCCCTTTTCCCCCCATCAATCGCCCTGCTCCCCACCGTCCTCCCCCCAGCTCTCTCCCCGGCATCTCCCTCGCTCCCCACGTCCTCTTCCCTGCTTCCCCCCATCCCCTTCCGTGCTTCCCTCCATCCCCTTCCGTGCTTCCCCCCATCCCCTTCCGTGCTTCCCCCCATCCCCTTCCCTGCTTCCCCCCATCCCCTTTCCTGCTTCCCCCCATCCCCTTCCGTGCTTCCCCCCATCCCCTTCTGTGCTTCCCCCCATCCCCTTCCGTGCTTCCCCCCATCCCCTTCCGAGCTTCCCCCCATCCCCTTCCGTGCTTCCCCCCATCCCCTTCCGTGCTTCCCCCCGTCCCCTTCCGTGCTTCCCCCCATCCCCTTCCCTGCTTCCCCCCATCCCCTTCCCTGCTTCCCCCCATCCCCTTCCCTGCTTCCCCCCATCGCCTTCCCTGCTTCCCCCCATCCCCTTCCCTGCTTCCCCCCATCCCCTTCCCTGCTTCCTCCATCCTCTCACACTCTCACTCTCCTTCCCCCACCCTCTGCCCTGTTCCCACCTAGGAAACCCCATCCCTGTCTTTTCCTCCCACCCTCCTTCCCCCACTCTCCTTCCTCCTGCACTCTCTCCCTCCGTCCTCTCGCACTCTCACTCTCCTGCACCCTCTGCCCTGTTCCCACGTGCCCTCCCCATCCCTGCCTTTTCCTCCCTGCTCCGCCCTTCCCTCCCCCAGCCGTTCACAACCCTTCCCTTCCTTTTCATGCCCTACCCTTCCCCCTCACTCCTCACCTTCCGCCCTCTAATACCCATGCATGTGCACCCATTAGTGTCTCCCCATACATGCTTTCATTATGTGCGCTTGTGTGTATTCCCCTGCCGTTGTTCCCTTGCACCTCACTCCACCTCCCCCATGTTTCTTCACACGAATCTTTCTGCCTACTCCAATCTCCCCTATTTTTCAGTGGTGAAGCAGAGGAGCAAGCTGAGGCGCAGCTAGTCTATGCTTTGCATCGTACCACCACCTGTGTCTTGTGTGCTTTGCATCATTTTTGTTGAAGAGATGGATCTCAAAGGCATAATACCGTACCGTATGTAATTTTGTTTCTGCAGTGCAAGATATTCTTCCAAGATTGATGCACACTAAGAGTGTCAGAAGGGTACAGAAAGGCATGTGCACAATACTTTTGATTGTACCTTTTCCAAAGCCTCGAAAGAAACATGAAGGGAACTGTTTTCTCTACGAGCATGGCATGGGATGATGGGCCTCTGAGCGAGTTGCAGCACCAGAAAAATCATCAGTGTAGTCACTGCAATTGCCAGGGAGAGAAAGAGAATACGAGCGATGGGGAGGGGAAAGCGGGGAAAGAGGGGGAAGAGGGAAGCAGGGGGGAAGGGACAGGGGGAGATAGGACGATGTGAGAGGGAAAGGGGATAGGAAGAGGAAGTGGTGATGGGAGGAAGTGGTGATGGAAGGAAGTGGTGATGGGAGGAAGTGGTGATGGGAGGAAGTGATGATGGGAGGAAGTGATGATGGGAGGAAGTGGTGATGGGAGGAAGTGATGATGGGAGGAAGTGGTGATGGGAGGAAGTGGTGATGGGAGGAAGTGGTGATGGGAGGAAGTGGTGATGGGAGGAAGTGATGATGGGAGAAAGTGGTGATGGGAGGAAGTGGTGATGGGAGGAAGTGGTGATGGGAGGAAGTGGTGATGGGAGGAAGTGGTGATGGGAGGAAGTGGTGATGGGAGGAAGTGATGATGGGAGGAAGTGGTGATGGGAGGAAGTGATGATGGGAGGAAGTGATGATGGGAGGAAACACCTGGAGCGGAGGGGGAGAGGAGGGGATGGGGACAGGACGGATGGGGAGAGGAGGGATGGGGAGAGGATGGATGGAAAGAGGAGGGATGTGATGAGGAGGGATGGGTTTGGAAGAGGAGGGGATGGGGAGAGGACGGGACGTGATGGGAGGAGGGGCGTGATGAGGGGGAGAGGAGGGGATGGGGAGAGGAGGGGCGTGATGAAGGGAGAAAGAGAGGTTGGGAGGACGGGGGGAAGGGATTCACGCAGCACCACGTCCGCCTCTGTTGTGCGACTATGGGCGGCGGAAGGGGAGTGAGCGAGGGATACGGAGGGGAATGAGTGGGCGACGGGGAGGAGTGAGTGCGACCATAAGGAGTGGGCGTGGGCGACGGAGGGGAGTGAGCATGTGCGGCGGAGGGGACCGTCGCGGCGGGAGGGAGTGAGCGTGGGCGGCGGACGGGGAGTCGTCTCGCGCGCCGGGAGGGAGTGCGCGTGGACGGCGGGAGGAGATTGAAAGGGAGAGCGCGACGCGGGCGGCAGCGTGCGACGAGAGGGAATTGGCCGTGTGCGACGAGCGGGGGTGAGCGTGTGCGATGTAAGGATTGCGCGAAGGCGATGGAAAGGGAGTGAGCGTGGGCGACGGGAAGGGAGCGAGCGTGGGCGAGGGAAGTGATTGAGAGTGGGCGACGGAACGATTGCGCGTAGGCGATGGGAAGGGTGTGAGCGTGGGCGACGGGAAGGTCTTGAGAGTGGGCAACGGAAGGGAGTGCGCGTGGGCCGAGGTAACTGACGGAGTGCGCGGGGGCGACGGAAGGGAGTGCGCGTCTGCGGCGGGAACGAAGTGAGCGTGGGTGACGGAAGGGAGTGTGCGTAATCGGTCTCGGCGCTCCCGCGTGGGCGACGGGAGGGAATTGTAATCCGCGAGAAAACAGAGCGCGCGTGTGCGACAATGGAGCGAGCGCGAAGGAGACGGGAGGGGAGGGAGCGTGCTCGTTGTCGCGAGGAAGCGTGAGCGATGGAGGGGAGTGCGTGTGTGGAACGGAAGGGGACGGAGTGTGGACTACGGGGAGAAGAAGCGAATGCGACGAAGTAGGGCGATTCACCTTAGAAACGCGGACAGAAAGTTATATCTCTGGCACCTAAGGAATGGAGTATTAGTCCTAACGAGTAAGGCGGGTCTATGAGGCATGGGGCTGGAATGAGGTTGGAGCCTAGCTGTTCTAAGCTATGGCTGCCGCTGGTGCTGATCGGACTAGGCAGTTTGTATCGACCTGAATTACAGGTTTCCAGTTTGGTGTGCACACCAAGGCCAGAGTGGTTGCGCAGGAACCGAGCGACACTTCCGTGAGCTGCCTGCGACTTCATCACGTTTTCCCCGTGCACAACTGGTAACCACCCTGGTTCGGGAGGGAAAGTGTTAAAGCTGAAGTATACATTTGTCAGCAGGGTTCAGGGTTTAGGGAGTGAGCCTCACAGGTTTGGGGCAACTTTTCAAATTTCAAAAGTTTTTGAACTCTTCCTTTCAAATGTATACCGCAGCTTTAACACCTCCCAACTTTTTTTGAAATTCAGGCTGCGGGTTTTAAGACATTGTGCTCTCCATGAATAACATTTGACATACCAATAATACATGTCACCAGTCTCCATCGTTCATGGCAATAAACGGATAAAATAGGCGTCCACTTGTAGAACGAAGCTCATTCATCAATCTACTCCAATTGGAACCAAGAGTCCCAATGAAGTAGTCGCTTTGCGCAGATATAAGTACACTCGCAAAGCTTATGGCCACGGATTGTGCGTCATCATAGTGTCGTGTGTCGCTCGTGGACGAATCTTGCCGGGCATTCTTGGAGTAAATAAATACCCAGTCCTTGTACTTTGCAACTCCATCAATCACAGCCTGCACCAAAATCCACGGAAAAAAAGGGGGATAAAACACACAATCAAAATACTATCATCTACACAGCAAGTGCATGGCAAGTCACTCATATCAAGCAGCACACGTCAACAAAAACACTCGTGAAACACACCCCCAACCTTCGGGAACCAGCCGTAGCAAGAAAGGCTCACAAAGCTGCAACCCGCAAACTCCACACACTCACGCATCCCAACCCTCAGCCACCCACACACCCGCCCACCCACCCACCCCATACCTGAGACTCGGTGTTAAGCCACACATAAGACAGGTCCGCACGAATGAGCCGGAGCCTGTTCAAATAGAAGATATACAAGCTGAGTGGCATGAGCTGCATCTCCTCCACCTTGTCACTCTGCCGCACATGCAGGCTCACAATGGGACTCATCACATACGGTTCCCCCCCCACTCCTTCAAACATCTCCCTCAGATACGCCGACCGCTTCTCCCTCTCCCCGCCGCCGCCGCACGCATCCTTGCTGCACGCGCCATGCGCCCAGGGAAACAGCCCCTGGGACTGTTTGAACGACCCTTCCCGGAACGGCACGGCAGCGGCGGCTGTGGCTTGCGGGGACAGTTTGATGTTGCTGCGGGCTGCATCGCCCGCGGTGTCCCCGGCGAGTTCCCGGAGGATCTCTGCGCGTGTGCTGTCGAAGCGGGCGAGGCGAGCAGCCACGCGGTGCCCGTAGGAGGAGTGGCGCACGCGGTTGGTCACGTGGCAGAGGTACGCGGAGGGCCAGCGCAGCATGAAGCGCGCGGCTTGCGCCCGCCACCAATGGACCTGAAACGGCGGGCGGGACCGTGTGGGGAAGGGGAGGGGGGAAGGGATGCAGAAGAGGTGAGAGGAGGGAGGGCCTGAGAGAGAGAAGGTGAATGGATTCCGCACGACTGTCTAAGGTCATAGTGCACGGGTTGAGCTTGCCACCTGGGATGCAGAGCACCTGCAGCCATACAGTCTCTCTCACTGCCCACACCACATGCACCACGACAGCACGCCAGCACCCACGCGGCATGACCAACCACCACATGGAACTGCATACATACTTGCATCACGTGTCCCTTCCTCCACTTCACTCTGTGCTGTGAACATGCCACACAGTGCCCGGCTGTTGCAGGCGTTTTGACACGTCCCACAACTCGACTTTCAAACATCCCACAGGTTGATTCTGAGACGCCTCAAGCGCCGATTTCGGGAGTTTCCAGAAGTGCGCACCTGCATTGTGTGTGCCTTGTGCGACTCTGAGCCCGGGACATGCCACACCGTGTCCGGCTGTTGCCATTGCGCCCCCCCCCACCGCCTGCCAAGCCATCAATGCGTGAGCGGGGGGTGGGAGCACGGGGAAAGGGGGGGAGGAGAGGGGGGGAGGAATGGATGGGAGAGGAGAGAGGGGGAGCATGGAGAGAAGAGAGATTTATGGGGAGAGGCAACGGGACAAGGGAGGGGGGAAAGAAGAGGGGAGAGGCGAGAGGGGAAAGGGGAGCGGGGAACGGGGAGAGGGGAGAGGCCCAACCCAGCCCATAGCAACACAGCATAACCCACCCCAGCCCAACCCAGTCCAACCCACTCCAAATACCCCAATCCAGCTCAACCTGAGCCCACCATGTGATGTTGGCCTTCATCTCGAGGTCCCCATAGGGCATGTAATCCAGGCAGGCGACCACGTCTGACGACCCGGCGACCTGCGAGGCAAAGGAGTGCGAGCACTGGAGCGCCTTGCTGTCCTTCATCTCCCGCACTATCTGCTGGCACGCGGGGTCTGCGAAGGAGAAGAAGAAGCACTCCCACTCGCCGTACTGCCCGGCAGCTGCTCACGCGACGATGCGGGTATGTGCATGCATGGGCGGGCGGGGGAAAAAGGAGAGGACAAGCCGGCTTCTTTATTTCTATTCTTAGGAACCAAACTTGCACTGGAGCGCCTTCCTGTCCTTCATCTCCTGCACCACCTGCAGGGCACTCCCACTCGCAGGTCCGCGAAGGAGAAGAAAGGAGAAGCACTCCCACTCGCCGTACTGCCCCGCGACTGCACAGGCCAAAGTGATGCATGCATGCACGCACATGCATGGGCAGGTGGAATGGGGGGGGAGGGGGCGTGGGGAGGGTATGGGAGTGGTTTTGCGATGTTGTAGGAGTTGGGTGCTGCTGTATAGCTGCAGAGGATGATGTGATGCATGCATGCGCACGCAGGAGAGGGTGCGTGGGGAGGGTATGGAGAAGGTATGGGGAGGGTTTGAAATGTTGTGCAAGTTGGGTGGAAATCACGCATGGAAACACATGGGCGAGACAGGGGGAGAGTGGAAACAGTTGCATGGGAGGGCTTTTGACCGTCTAAGAGAATAGTAAAAAAGTAAGTTCGTCAGTGGGTGGGTGGGTGGGTGAGTGAGTGAGTGAGTAAGTGAGTGAGTGAGTGAGTGAGTGAGTGGGTGAGTCAGTCAGCCAGTCAGTCAGTCAGTCACAACGTCAGTCAGACCGTCAATCAGACCGTCAGTCAGACAGTCAGTCAGTCAGTCAGCCAGTCAATCAGCCAGTCAGTCAGTTAATCAGTCAATCAGTCAGTCAGTCAGTCAGTCAAGTCAGTCAGCCAGTCAGTCAGTCAGCCACTCAGCCAGTCAGCCAATCAGCCAGTCAGTCAGTCAGCCAGTCAGTCAATCGAGCAGCCAGACTTACTCATTCAGTCCGTCCGTCCCTCCCTCCTCACTCTTACACCCTGCCTCTTCCAAGTTCCATCCACCCCCCATACACCTCCCTTCCGTTCATACGCCCCGTTACCACAACGAGCATACAGCTATATACTGGATGACAATCCTAAGAAAAACGCATTGCCAGCGTATCTAGAGAATCCCTCCCATCCCTGCCAGAGCCACCCACTGCACCTGCACTGCACGACATGACAGTTCTCCCAACCACCACACCCATTCCTCCCTCCTCCCATCATCCCCCCCTTTCACAGCTTCCCCCCACCACACCCCCCCCCTCACCCGCCCACCCAGCCACACGCACCCGCTCCCTCCCTCCCGTCCCCTCTCCCTCCCTCCGCCCCGCGCACCTTTACAGCCAGGCTCCTCGGCGCGGCCGTACGAGCCCGGGATGGCGACGAGAGTGCGGTTGAACTGCAGGGCGATGCTGAGGAACGCGCCCATGACGTGCACCTGCGACCCCACGCCGTGGTGGTTCTGCGGCGCCCACTGCACCACCAGCACCTTCCTGCCCGCGCACTTGCGCTCTGCTGGGAACTGGTTCTCCCATATCTCCTTCTGCACCCGCCGCGTCATTGCTAGGTTCTCGTCGTCCGCTCCCCGAACCTGCGAGTGTTGGAAGGTTTGGGGGAGGTTCGGGCGGGAACGGCGGGGGGAGGAGGGAGAGGGGGAAGGGGAAAGGGGGGGGAGACGGAGAGGAGGGGGAGGGAAGGGGGTGGGAGGGGGAGGAAGGGGTGGGAGGAGGGAGAAGAGAAGGGGAGAGAAGGGGGGTGTGGCGAGTGAATCGTCTTACTTGAGCTGCGGCAGGGAGACGGGAACTAGAAGGGATTTGAGGAGGTGTTTTGGAGGGGGAAGTGGTTGAAGCTGCAGTGGATGAATTGCGTCTGGACAAGGCAGTTTGAGAGGACATAGGATGAGCAGTTTGCCACTGCACAACAAGGCACGTGCATGGAAGTACGCAGAGATGTGCAAGAAAACACGATGCACAATGTAGGGCGGGAGGGAGGGAGGGAGGGAGGGAGGGAGGGAGGGAGGGAGGGAGGGAGGGAGGGAGGGAGGGAGGGAGGGAGGGAGGGAGGGAGGGAGGGAAATCACAGAGTGTGTAGCGCATGAGGAAGCTCTTTCAACGACCAACATGACGCTGCAAAGAGGGGAGCGACGTCTGACAAGAGGAGCAGGACGCCAAGTGGCGAAACAAAGAGGGGGAGGGCAAGAGGCAGGGTGAGGGTTGGTTGGGGGGTGGGTGAGGGCTGGCTGTCGGAGTGGACGGGGGCGGTAGACGCGGGAGATGAGAAGAGCGAGACGCTGTGATGGGGCAGTAAATGTCAAGGAGCGAGAAACAGGTGCTTGCGCCCCTCCCCACTGCTTGCCCCCCCCCCGCTGCTTGCGCCCCTCCCAACTGCTTCCCCGCTCATGCTCCTTCCGCACCCGCGCTCACATCTCATCCGCGCTCGTCTAACCCGCGGTTCAGTCTCACCCACGGGGGTTGCGGGTTGCATCCGCAGCACTTGGGCGGGCGCGCCCATTCCGGCGGCTCCCCGTTCGCCCCGCGCTGCTCCGCCGCCAGGCGGAACGCCGTGCGAGCCGCGCAGTCCTCGAGGTGCGGCGCGGGGGGCACGTTGGGCGGAAGGGAGATGTTGGCGGGGGGAAGTTGGTTGTCCTCGTGCAAGCCGTAGATGCTCTCCCATACCTGATTGACGAGAGGGGGAACGGAGAGGCGGAGCGGAGTAGAGGAGAGGAGGAAAGGAGGGTTGCGGGGAGAGGAAGGGAGGAGAAGCGGGAGGAAAAGGAGGGGGTGTTGAGAATAGGTGGAGGTATGGGGGTGAGACGGGGAGGGTAAAGAGTAGAGAGGGTGAGTGAGAGAGACAATAAAGAACGAAGTCGAGACTCGCTAAGTAGAAGCAGGTGGCCTGTTACGCGGTAACCAGGTGGCCGAAGAATATGCATGGGCTCCAAGCTCCTAGCGCAGACAGCGCAAATAGAGCAGATAAGAGGATCGCGCGAGCACCTAGCGCGGATAGGGAAAAACGAAGAATACGCGTGGAGACGTTCGATGAAGAGAACGACGCAGCCGTGCTGACGAGAGGTGGATGGACTCGATACAGTGACGAGGGTTGGCACTGACTCGATATAGTGACATGACGTGCTCGAAGCCGGACTCCCCTCCAACGGAGTGGCTGCTTGGATCGATCGGTTCCGACGCGCAACGTGCCGGCACCTCGAAGATAAGGCAAAGAACTAAGAAGGGGATCGCGCGAATTGCGGAACGCTCTGATCGCTGTGCCATGACTCTGACCAGTGGTGTGGACGGAGCTTATAGCGAATGCTGTGTAATTCTGAGTGGTTAAGAAGAGCACATTATCTTCTCGTAATGGACCCGAAAAAAACGGTGGAAGAGAAATTTAACACTAAAAACAAAACTAGGTGGTACCGAAAAATGGCAATCGACCCAGCTCTAAGTCAGCTGATCCGCATTCGGGCAAGTAGCACGTGTCCCCGACAGGTATTCCCCATTATTTCATCGCGCTCAAACGCCAATTAAACCATCGCGACGCGAAGCACCGGAAAATCCGGAAGTAGCCAGATTGATCAGACTATTATGAACGTTGATAGGCTTGGGGAAGAGGAGAAGGCTGAGGATGGATGAAGGCACAGAAGCCGCGTAAGGAGCAGGGTTGTTGGGGGTTGTGGTGGCTGGTAAGCCTCAATATTACTCCCTACACCTTCTAATGCCGATCTTAGTTTAGGATCACAAACTCAAAGCTAGGGGGTAAGGTCTCCTGACCGGAGCAGTATATCGGAAACATTATTAACGACTTCGTGACAATTCAACGATGCAACGTGGCAACGACGAATCAGACAGCAGCACCACATCACTCCCTCATCCTGCTTTCGGTATCTGCCAGGAGCTTAGAAATTAGAAACGAAGAAAATGCATACGGTATATTCCATAAATGTTATGGGTGCAATTCAGCTCCTCCTCCCCTCTTTTTCCCTTCCACACTCCCTTTTTCTCCCCCGCCCTTCTTTTTCTTCCTCCCTTTCTTTTATCCATCCCCACCCCATGTTCTTTCTGCACCCTTGCTCTCCTCCCTGCCTCACAAAAATCCATCCTGACACCTCACACCCAGAAAGTGAATGCAACGGAATGTTTGACTTAGGAGAGCAAGGCATACAAATAGAAACCCTAAGAGTGTTGTACTCCTTAGAGTGCTACTCACTGCAGCCTACAACCAATAACAACATTTGACACACCCCCGTAGGCTAAATGAGGGGCATCAAAGCAAGCATGGTGAACAAACAGTCATAAGACCAGTCAAAGCAAGAAACAAGGCAAGCTCAGGGTGGATCTCAAGGACACCACACAAATTCCGAGCGCAAGCAAGCGGCCACAAGGCCAGTTCAAGAGTTCACTAGGATATGTATATGAAAAACACAACAAGCAGAGCAAGCAACAAGACTACAGCAACCAAGGGCCTACCTCAACAAGCCCCAACTGCACACAAAACCTGTGGTGATCACCAAGCGCCAAGGCCTTGGTGAAGACGTCTGCGGTGTTGGCCTCTGAGGCCACAAAGTCCAGGCGTGCCTGGCCGCGTCGCTGTAGCTCTCGCAGGAGGAAGTACCTCACGTCAATATGTTTCACTCTGCTCTCCAGTCGAGGCTCTCGACACAGGAGGATCATGGCCTTGTTGTCAGCGTACAAGGTCGGTGCAGAGCGAGGCCGCTCACCAAGATCGGCGAGCAAGAAGGTCAACCAGCGAAGCTCCTGTGCCGCCATGGCACCAGCGTAGATCTCTGCCTCTGCACTGGAAGTAGCCACAGACGACGACCGTGTAGACCTCCACGACACAGCACCAGCTTCCAGACTGAAGCAGTAACCCTGAGTCGAGCGCTGAGTCTCCACGTCGTCAGCGTAGGAAGAGTCGCAGTGACCAGTCAATGCCACTGGCTGAGTCCCTCCAAGCACAAGCCCCATGCCTGATGTAGTCGCCAGGTACTTCGCCACCCTCACAGCAGCTGTCCAGTGGACAGGACGGTGTCTCCCAGTCGCAACAAAGCGAGAGAGGACGCTGAGGGGAAAGGCGAGGTCCGGCCGAGTACAAGTCATCAGGTACATGAGGCAGCCCACCAGCTCTGCGTAGGGACCACTGGGCTCAAAAGGCTCGTCGGGAAAGGGGCCAGTGAGTCTGTGTTCAACAGCAAGAGGTGTGGGCTGTGTGGTGGAGAACTGGAAGTCGAACCGCCGAAGGACCTGCTGCACCATGTGTGACTGCGTCAGTGTGATGGTGCGAGCGGCTCTGTCCCTGGTGATCTGCAGGCCAAGGTAGCGCTGCAGTTCACCTAGGTCAGTGCACGTGTGTCTCTTCTGCAGTTCGGACTTCACCTGAGCCAGAGCTGCCCTGTCTGCTGTGGCAAAGACCAAGTCGTCGACGTACACTAGTATAAAGAAATGAGTGGAACCAGTGCGAACAAACAGCGACGGGTCGGCAGAGGAAGGACAAAACCCAAGGTCACGAAGCGTGGAGCGCAGAGTGTCGTGCCACTCACGGGGCGACTGGCGGAGACCGTAGACTGGCCGTCTCAGGCTCCACTGGGTCCCAGGTGGGAAGGTGTCAGTGAAGCCAGGAGGGCGGCGCAGCCATATCTCCTCGTGTAGTCGGCCCTGGAGAAACGCAGTAGAGAAGTCAAGGGAGTGCAGCTCGTAGTCTCGCTGTGCTGCTACGTGCAGTAACACCCGAAGAGTAGTCATCTTCGGGGTCGGGGCGAAGGTCTGGAAGAAGTCAACTCCCTCACGCTGACTGAAACCCCTAGCCACGTAGCGCGCCTTGAACACAGGCGGTGAACCAGGCGGCCGTCACCTTGAAGAGCCACATGCCATCGACTACGTTCGCCCTAGGAGGGGGAACTGCGTCGACGTAGGTGCATGTCGATCTCCAAGACGCTAACTCCGAGGCCATAGCCGCTTTCCACTGTGAGGCCCACGCCCCTGACACTGCCTCGCGGTAAGTGCGAGGAGTCGGTATGTCAAGGGCGTCGGGGTCTCCCTCAGGGGATAGCAGCATGGCACAGACAGAGGGAGAAGCGGCTACCCAGTACTCCAGCTCAGACTCTCTGTCCTCTAGGACGTCACAGCCAAGGGCAAACCCACCCCTGACGGACAGAGGACGGGAGGGAGGAGCTGGCACCACACGGGTGGTGTAGTCAAGGCGACTGGCGGCAGCAAACTCAGCGACAGCGGCAGTGAGAGCCGAGACAGACGACGGAGGGAAACGAGAGTCGGTGACAAGAGTGGCGAGGACACGAGAGACAACAGGACGAACAGCGCGGTAGTAGTCAGTGACAGGAGTAGGGGGGAAAGGGAGAGAGGACGGAGGTGGACACGGGAGAACGGACTCAGGAGGAGGACGACGAAGAGACGAACAAAGGAGGGCAGTGCGGAGGTCGGTAACGGGAGACGAGGGACGAGCACGCGGAGGACAGGGACGGACACGAGAGTGCGGGACACCAGGTGGAGGAGACTGTGGTGGAGGAGAAGACCAGACCGCCGGACTGGCGTCAGGAGGAGGAAACGTGGGACCAAACGCTGGAGGGGACGGAGTGTGAACAGGAGGAGAGGAGGGAAGACCAAGGGCCCGAAGGCCACTCACGGGTGGGAACAACTGCCGCTCCAGAGGGAGCTGCTGTGGTCGCAGCTGCGGCGGCGGTGTCTGCTGCTGCTGCGGCTGCTGCTGCTGCTGCTCCAGCAGGTCCAACTGCCGCAACTCCTGCCGCTCCCTCTCCAACAGCACCTGCTCCTCACGCTCACGCCGACGGGCCACCTGGAGACGTGTGTCGTGGCGGTGGGGAGCCGGAGTGGACTCCGCAGAACCAGTGTCTCCTGCTCCAATCTCCTCAGAACCAGCACCTCCAGTGCCAGCGCCTCCAGCACCAGCACCCCCAGAACCAGCACCTCCTGTGCCAGCACCTCCAGCTCCAGCACCTCCAGAACTAGTACCGCCAGTGCCAGGACCTCCAACTCCAGCACCCCCAGAACTAGCACCTCCAGTGCCAGCACCTCCAGCTCCAGCACCCCCAGAGCTAGCGCCACCTGCGCCAGCACCTCCAGCTCCAACACCCCCAGGACTAGCACCTCCAGTGCCAGGACCTCCAGCTCCAGCACCCCCAGGGCTAGCGCCACCTGCGCCAGCACCTCCAACTCCAGCACCCCTCAAACGAGCACCCCCGGACCGAGTACCGCCAGTGGCTGCTGTCAAAGTATATGCATGTTATATATGTGTAGGCTGTAGTGGGGTAGCCAATATGGGGTACAGCCCCTTTTAGGGTTTCATACTTGTACCCAACTCTTTCATAGTTCATTCATTCCTGTCTCTTGATTCTGACATGGTTTCAGAGCAGTAGGTCCGTAGGACCGTTTTTTTTTCGGGCCCACCTACCGCTACCCCACGACTGTGACTGTGACTGACTGTGCCTGTGACGTGCTGCGCTGCGCGCGCCGTCTGCCTGCTGCCTACTGTCTTCTGACTATGCGATCTGCTGCTGCTTAGAGCGCGCAGACCTAATTCCTGCGCGGGGCTCGTTATTTGCCCACCGCGTCGCCCACCCTGCCCGAGTCGCGCCTCGGCAGCCCGCGCGCGGCTCGGTGCTGCTTCGCGCGCCGCGTCTGCAGCCCGCGCAGCGCGTTGCAGCCCCGCGCGTCGCGACAGCTGCCCGCGCGTCGCGCTGCAGCCCCGCGCGCCGCGACCGCTGCCCGCGCGTCGCGCTGCAGCCCCTCGCGCCGCGCGCGCTGCCCGCGCGACGCGCTGCAGCCCCGCGCGCCGCGACCGCTGCCCACGCGTCGCGCTGCAGCCCCGCGCGCCGCGACCCACCTGCTTCTGCCGCGGCCGCGCCCTGCCGCCGACACGGCCCCGCCCGGACGCTGACGCGGCCCCGCCAGCCCTGCAGCTGACGCGGCCCCGACCTGCCGCTGACGCGGCCCCGCCCTGCAGCTGACGCGGCCCCGCCCTGCAGGTGCCGCGGCCCTACTCTGCAGCTGCTGCTGCGGCCCCGCCGTCGCCGCCGTCGTGCGCCTCCCCTGCCGCCGCCCGCCGAGAGCCGGCCCTGCCCGCCACTGGTGAGCACCTGCCTTGTTCGCGCACTGCAGCGCCCTCTGCCTGCCTGTCTACCTGCCTGCCTGCCTGCCACTCCTGCCGCGCCTGCCCTGCCCGAGCTGCTGCTACTACTGTTGCTACTGTTGCTACTGGCGGTGGCCAGATGCAACTCCAGCGACGCCCGCGCGAGTCTCTC